AGGGCCCTGATCTCCTCTGGGAGCTCATTCCACCAGGTAGGAGCCACCACTGAAAAGGCCTTGGGATCAATTCCCATGAGGTCATGGTGACATGGCTGCAGGACTTGTGGTGTGTGTAGAACCATTCTGGTGGGTTTCAGTCATTCCAGGTGAGGAGATTCTAAAGGTGGTAATGGAGGCTGTTCATCATTTCTCTCCAGACCCTTCCTCTTGGCATTTTGTGCCTCCTTTTGTCTAACATCTGACAACTATACAGAGGTACAGCATTACATTTCATGCAGAATAAGTATGACGCCTCTTCTTTCCACCCCCTGCAAAGCTGCTAAGGTTTAATTCCTCACTAGAGTCTAGTCATTGTTGGTTTTTTTAATTATTTGACCTCAACAGGCTAGTTCACAGAGTCAGCAGAGGGCAAGTTTAGACACTGTTTCTAAACGTATGTCTAAAAATACAAAGTGCACACGTGAAATACAAACGTGTTGGCAAAGATATAAATACACTCCTGTTAGGTGTTGTGTCACCTTGAGCATCCTAAAAGAAAAGCGGAATAAAAGTGCAATAATACGTGTTTGCATTCATTTGTACTGGACTCGTTTTAATCTGGCTATTTTAAATATTTAAATATATCGGGCTGGGATCTCACATTCTGGTCAGTTAAATAATGGAGCCCCCCCTCCATGGAAGAGATTTCTTGCACTGGAGGAAGAGAATCCATACACAACAGAGCAAAATGGCAGGATCCAACCCAGTGTTATATGCCGAGTCCCTGGAGATTAGATAGTGCAGACACTAAAACATAAGAAATGAACAAAGTCGAAGTAATACAGCACCTTCTCCAAACTGCCATCACAGTGAGATACAAACACCTGAAAGCATCCATGAATAATATTCATTGAATCACAAATGTATTTACAATTTGTATTTTAAAGGCCAGTTTCAATGCAATGGTGAATGTATGAACAATTTAGGATTTTACGGAATCTTATTACCTGATCTTCAGAGTCCGAGGAGCAGAGAGAGTAGCCAGATTCTACATCAGAATGTGCTGCTTTTCTTAGAGCTACCCTGAACACAGAAATGTTATTTTAACTCTCTTCATTACGCATACACAAAAAAACTTATTTGTATGCCTTAATACAGAGTGGCAGAAATTTCAAAAGCAGTTACACCAGACTAAGTCCTTTGAAGGTATACTGAGAATTACACTTGAAAAGCACTGGACTATGCTTCATACAAACAACAAACTTATTTTCCCAAATTATCTTTAAAACAAAACTTGATCTGACAAATGTTGCTATGACACTTGTTCATTCGCTTGTCTGAAAATGTTCACCCTCCTAGGGCATCCCCATTATTACTGGAGAGAAGTCTGGAGAATCTGGCAGTTAAACCCACTAAAGGTCAGGGGTCATTTCCTGCAGGAGCGCGCAGGAGCGGAGCTCCGGTAGTAAAGAGCCCAGGGGGTGGGCACATGCAACAAGCCCCACCCCCTCCTCCCAGCAGCCCTCAGTCAGAGCAAGAAGCAGCCAGGTAAGTTGCAGAGCTCCCCACAGTCCCCTGGTCCAAAACAGTCCAGTGGCACCTTTAAGACCAAGTTTTATTCAGGCACAAGCTCTCCCTCCTCTGCGAGGACAGATCTGCATGCCCCCCCCTCCAATAGCTAGCAATCCAAAACAGTCCAGTGGAGCCTGAGCAGTGGGTGTTGCCTTCTGACACACTTCCGGTGATGCCAGGGGGTGTGGCATATGCAAATGAGTTATGCAAATGAGTTCCTGCACCTCTTTTTCTACGAAATGACCCCTGCTAAAGGTACAACGTATCATAAGGATAATGTTAACAATAAGCAGCTCACAGTTTGCACTAACGTCATAAAAGTAATCATGAAGAAATTCTTACTGTCTTTTATTGCATGTTATTTTAGTTGTCCCTGTCAACCTTCCAGAAGACAGCACCTGTTGATTGCACAGATTGGTGTCAGTTTTACTGCTGAACGGTAAAAGAGCAAACAACTCTTCCTTACCACGAACCAGACAGATGTATTTTGAAAATATACTGTCTTGTACATGAAAAACCTAGGGCATGTGGACATGTGGTTTTTAACCATTACTTTAAAATGCCTAGTTAAGACTGCCCCCAAACATCAATCTATTTCCACAGCACAAAGCATGACCACACTCCTTTGGAACGATATAAAATGCCTTCAGAATGAGAGGTATGCATAGAAAGACAACTTTAATGCAACATGTTTCTTATATGGTCTTGATTCAGTTGCAGGACATTGGGGGGGGGGAGATGCCCTTCCCCCCAGTGTCCTCCCCTGGTACCACAGGGTTTCCTTCTTGACATCACCAACAGTCTCCCCTTTCCTTACAGCTCCCCCCCCCCACTGCATCTCTTCCACCACCCCCATTCAGGACCAGCTTTCACCTGGTGGACTCCTTTGAGTACCAGTTGGGGTGGCTATGGTAATCTAAAATGCTCCTAAACCCTGGCTTGTTCGGAGTGACACTGACTGCAAGGTATGCTGGGGGTATTTGTAAACTCCAGGCAGGATTTTTATTCGCTGCCAAAATATCATTTGTAATTCAACAGGTCTACAACGTGCTCTCTCAGCTATTTATTTATTCAAACTGAACAACCCAGAGTCTCAGCATGAAAGTGGAAAAGTTTAGTTATTAGTTGCACTTAAGTTGGCTTCTTAGAGGATGGCTGGATCCACACCAATATTTCAGACTTTTAACATGGTAGAAAAGGCAGTTTAACCAAGATAAAAAGACTTACTCCACTTTTATATCTGGTAACCAGGTCGTGTAACATCTCAAAAATCTACATAGCCCATTGGATCACAGGTGATGGTGAGTCAAAAGAAATGAACATGTTCAGCACAGCAATGCCATCTCTGTCATACCACTTTACACTTTTGAAAATGAGTGTCTGTGCCCCCAGGCAAAGAGAACATGAGCAGAGTTCTACAAGTGCCAATGATACTAAACAAATATCAGTAGCAAATGACTGTACAGTTACTTTAGATCAAGAAAGGTTATTCTGATCTCCCAGAATCCCCACTTATCCTTGGAAACTTGCTGGGTAAGTTTGAGACAATCATACACAGTCTAACACTCAGGGTTTTCCTGAGGATACAATGGAGGAAAGGAGAATGAAACAAGCTGGTTTGGGGTCCCCCGTAGGGAGAAAGGTAAAGGTTCCCCTTGCTCGAAAGCCAGATGAATCCGACTCTAGGGTTGTGGTGCTCATCTCCGTTTCCAAGCCGAAGAGCCAGCGCTGTCTGAAGACGTTTCCGTGGTCATGTGGCCAGCATGACTAAACCCCTCCATGCCAATAAAGGTTTGGAATGGAATTGAATTGACTAAACCCCAAGGCGCACGGAACGCTGTTACCTTCCCACCGAAGCGGTACCTATTTACCTACTTGCAATTTCTTGCTTTCGAACTGCTGGATTGGCAGGAGCTGGAACCAGAGACGGGAGCTCACTCCATCACGCCGCACTCGTGAAGTATAAACAGATACAGGTTTTGGATGAAGAGAAAAGGAATCCCCAAAGGGATCGACAGAAGGCTAGATTTCCTCTTTGGGTAAAATTGGAGAAGACCTGTTCCTAGTTAGGTCCCTCCCCCTCTCCTTTAAACATCCATTTGCTGTTTAACTTGCCCTGCTGCAGAAACACGGGATTACAAAAGTTTATTTGCAGTAAGATCAAACGGAAAGGGGTGGGGAAGGATGTAAAGCCTCCGAAATGCTCTTTTAAAAACTACAGGTTTACCAATCTCCAGGTAAAGGTTCCCTTGCTCGAAAGCCAGTCAAGTCCGACTCTAGGGTTGCGGTGCTCATCTCCGTTTCCAAGCCGAAGAGCCAGCGCTGTCCGAAGACGTTTCCGTGGTCATGTGGCCGGCATGACTAAACGCCAAGGCGCACAGAACGCTGTTCCCTTCCCACCGAAGTGGTCCCTATTATCTACTTGCAATTTCTTCCTTTCGAACTACTAGGTTGGCAGGAGCTGGAACTAGAGACGGGAGCTCACTCCATCATGCAGCAACTCGGGTCCTTAATCTCCAGGTAATTCGCCCCAAATTACAACTGACTTTCCAGACTACAGAGATTAGTAATTCCCGTGGAGGAAACGGCAACTCCACAAAGCAGACTCCATGGCATGACATCCCTCCCCACCCCCGCCCCATGGATTTCCCAGACTAGAGCAGGCAACCAACGCTCCCTCTAAACCGTGGAGTCCGGTGTACAAAAATTCCACTTCGTGAGCAGCTGGCATTGAAGTTGCGAGAGCCATTTGGCCGCTGCATAAATCAGTTTGCTCTGGAGGAGCCCTCCTTCCTGTGCGAAGGCAAAAACAGGCTAAACACTTGTGAGCTAGCTCACACCAGCTCAGCTTAGAGGGAACCCTGCTGGCAGCCCTACAAGCGGATCTATTTCCCTGAGTTACTTTAAAAAAGGTAAAGGTAAAGGTTCCCTTGCTCGAAAGCCAGTCGAGTCCGACTCTAGGGGTGCGGTGCTCATCTCCGTTTCCAAGCCGAAGAGCCAGCGCTGTCCGAAGACGTTTCCATGGTCATGTGGCCGGCATGACTAAACACCAAGGCGTATGGAACACTGTTACCTTCCCACCGAAGTGGTCCCTATTTATCTACTTGCAATTTCTTGCTTTCGAACTGCTAGGTTGGCAGAAGCTGGAACCAGAGACCCGTCATGCGGCACACTCGGGTCTCGAACTGCTGAACTACCGGACCTTCCACAGCCCGCAGTTCAGCGTCTTAACCACTTGAGCCACCGCAGTAAAAGTTACTTTTACTTCCCTTTCTAAAAGAAGATCACGCTAACACCACCACCACC